CAAGTGGTATTCATAGTTTTAGATTATCCAGACGGTGGCAGTGACTTGAAGAAGTGACGGTGTGGGACAGGCCACTGGCACCCAATCCCTGGGTGGCCAGGAAGGCGGGAGGGCGGGAGGGCACGGGGCTCGCAGCCAGGCGCGCCACGGCACGCGACAGCGCTCAGACCCGGCCGCGGTCTCAGGCTGCTAATCAGGAAGCTCGTTCCTCAAACGACTCCCAACCACCCGCCTGGCGCTAAGCGGGGCGAGCAGCTCACGTTCCGGCATACTCGCCCGGCAGCGGGCCAACGGCCTCCAGTCCCCAGGCGGCGCTGTGGGCTCTAGGGGGCGGCTGCGGCACGAGCGAGCGCCGTCTTCCTAGTGCGCATGCTCGCCCCCGCTGCAGACTGTTTTTTTTTTTCTTCCCTGGCGGCCCGGCGGCTGCGTACTGGCTGTGGGATGGGAAGTGAAGCCCCAGCGAGCGACTGCAGCGGGGCTGTAAGGAGCAGCCAGGGGGAGGCGGCGGCGAAGGTGGCGGCGAGTCGGTGAGCAGCTGGGAAGAGCAGAGCCGGGGCGGAGCACCTGCAGGCGAGGGCGGCGGCCCCACGATGGCGATTCGCAAGAAGAGCACCAAGAGCCCCCCAGTGCTGAGCCACGAATTCGTCCTGCAGAATCACGCGGACATCGTCTCCTGTGTGGCGATGATCTTCTTGCTGGGGCTCATGTTTGAGGTGAGCCCTCCCCAAGCCCACACCGCCTGTCCCGTTGCCTCCTGCCCGGGCCCGGGCCCGGGCTCCGGCTCCGGCTGCCAGCCTCGGCTTCTCCGGCCAGGACTGCGGGGGGATCCGGCTGGGGGTAGGTGCGGACCCCCAGTCCCCAAGGTGCGGGCCTGCCCTGCCCCACGCCGGCGGCAGCTCCCCGGCGGCCAGCCCGGGGATGCAAAGTCCCGGTGGGCCTAGTCGCCGCCCGCAGGGGGGTGGGGACCGCCGCGTTGCCCCCTTCATGACCCGCCGCCGCCCCCTCCCACCGGCGCCGCCGCGCAGTTCCTGGTTCCCGCGAAGGGTTACGTGGCAGCCCGCGAGGGGCCGACGGGCGGGCGGGGGCGGCCCCTGCGCTGCCGAGCTGGCTCGGCGCGGGTGGGCGGACTTCGGGGGACGGCCAACGTCTGCCGCGGTGAGCTCGCGCCCTGCGGGAGCCGGAGAAGGCGGAGGCCCGGTCTCCAGGCCACAGGCCCCCAGTGACTGGGGGACCCCTGGTACCGCCAAGATTGGGGTGAACGAGAAATCGGAGTCGGGCATCTGCTGTCGACTTGAAGGGCGGTGGCCGCCGGGCACCAGCATAGTGGAGGCGCGGCGGATTGTTCTAATTTTTGCCTTTTAAACTGATATTCTTACCAGTTAACGAAGTTTTTGCCCTGGTGCTTTAAAGAAACAAGGTGTGATGGATAAATCGAGGTTCTGAACAGCGGTGCTAGAGTCGAGTAATTTTGTTTCTTGAAGTAGGAGAGTGTGGGAATGTCAGGAGTGTGTAAATGCTCTTCCCACGTATCTAGTATTTTGATGACTTATTTAACAGCTGTTGAATTTGGATGGTAAACTTTGCAAGGTGAACGAGTAACATCCTACGTTTTCTCCTCATTCCCCAAAATACACGTCTATTCCTTTGCTTTTTTTCCCCCTTTGTAATTTTTCTCTGGAGCCCCTATGTCCCATTAAATAATAAATTGTTTTGCTTGTGCATTGTTTTATCTCCTCTCTCCTGCATGTAACAAGTGTGAGTAGAGATTTTGGAGTACTTTTACAAGTCGGTATTTCCGGAGTCTAGGATAGTGCCTGGGACATAGGAAGTGCTTTAAAAAACATAAGCGATGTATGGGCGCAGTGGCTCATGCCTGTAATCCCAGAATTTTGGGAGACCGAGGCTGGTGGATCACGAGATCTGGAGATTGAGACCATCCTGGCCAACGTGGTGAAACCCAGTCTCCGCTAAAATACAAAAAACTAGCCGGGCATGGTGGCGCGCGCCTGTAGTCCCAGAGTCCCAGCTATTCAAGAGGCTGAGGCAGAGGAATCGCTTGAACCCGGCAGGCGGAGGTTGCAGTGCTCCGAGATCTCGCCACCGCTCTCCAGCCTGGACGACAGAGCAAGACTGCCTCAAAAAAAAAAAAAAAAAAGAGAACAACGTTACGAATCCTTGATGCAGTGGCTCTTGCCTGTAATCTCAGTACTTTGGGAGGCTGAGGCGGGCGGATCATAAGGGCAGGAGATCGAGACCATTCTGGCTAACACAGTGAAACCCTGTCTCTACTAAAATTACAAAAATTAGCCAGATGTGGTGGCGCGCGCCCATAGTCCCAGCTACTTGGAAGGCTGAGGCAGAAGAATCCCCTGAACCTGGGAGGCAGAGGTTGCAGTGAGCTGAGATTGCGCCACTCCACTCCAGCTTGGAAGACAGAGGAAGACTGTCAAAAAAAAAAAAAAAAAAGAATCCTTGAGAAGGTGAATAATTTTTTTTAAATGAAGCCTATTTGGTTTTTTAAATTTTAAAACTAAATAGCAATATTTTACCTTATTTTCGCCTCTCTTCAAATGGGTTTTTCTGGATCTAGATATAGATATAATATATATACTCCTGATTGTGTCGTGTACGTTTGAAACCACTGCTAATGAGACATAGCAGGTATAAAGGGTAGGTGAAGGGAACTATCATTCACAGGCTTTAAGTCTGGGTTCTGCCACCTACCTACTGGATGACTCAAGTCTGAGCCTCGATTTTTTTGCTTGTGTAAGGAAATAATATCACAAGTACCATTCCCTTCACAGCCATTTTTTGCAAGGTTCAGATAATATGGTGTGAAGGTAAATACAGTACTAGGCCTGTTGAGCTGGCTCAGGCCTGTAAATCCCAACATTTTGGGAGGCCGAGGTGGGAGAATCACTGGAGCCCAGGAGTTTGAGACCAGTCTAAGCAACATGGGGAGACCCTGTCTCGACAAATGATTTTTTAAAAATTAGCTGGGAGTGATAACACGCACCTGTGGTCACAGCTGGGAGGCTGAGGTGGAGGCTGCCATGAGCCAAGGTTGCACCACTGCACTCTAGCCTGAAGGACAGAGCAAGACCCTGTCTCAAAAAAAAAAAAAAAAAACCCAATGCTAAACATTTGTATTCACTTTCTGAGTTTGATACTTGTATATATTTTCTGCTTTTATCTTAAAGTAATACTTTAACATATGTAGTATATCCGATTTTATGTAACTTGTCATAAACAATCTCTACATGTTAAGAATTTCTGACTTTAAAAACATATTTTAGGGGTACTGTGACCTGCAAAATATATTTGCAATACTTTGAGTGAAATGAAGTGTAAATCAGAAATTCTGACATGCAGTAGAACTTTGATGTTATATTAACTATTTTACATTCTCTTCCTGTATTTCTAGAGAGGTCCACCACCTATACCTTGCCTCACATGTTAGTGATTTTTTTTTTAATAGTGGACTTTCACTTTTACATAAATTTGTAAAATTTGAAACTCTAAATAGACAAAAATACTAAATGGAGGCTTTTAAAGTCAATTCAAAAGTGAACGTTAAAGTGATAAACAAAAGTGAAGTTTGTGCAAGTTGTTCCTTTTTCTTGCCATATGTTAAGGTGTTAGGATTTCAAAGCATGTTACCTATATATGGGAATGTGTTGACTAGGTTCGTTTTGCTATTTTACTTTTAAAACAATTGCTGCTGAATCTCAAAGTTAACGTAATTATAGAATTACAGTATTTGTGCTAGAATAATAGAGAAATTGATTTTTTTGCAGAACTGTTAAGCCTTTTGTGCAAATACATTGAAAAAACGTCAGAGGATTTATGGTGAAATCGACAAGTAAATTAAAGAAAGAAATAAATACTCTATTACTAGCCAAAATGACGAAGCAGTGGAGATACCCTGTAAAAGCAAGGATTCTGGAGCTGAAGGGATTCATGTTCAAGTTAGGGCTCTGCAGCTTGCTAACTGGGTGACTGAGGATAGCTCAGAACTGAAGTTTCCTCATCTGTTAAATGAGGCTTATTGGGTTACTCTGATAATTAAATTAACCAGTATGTATTATGCCTAGTTCAGTGCTTGGCTTGTAAGAGGCATGCAATAAATAGTAACTATTATTATTATTTCAAAACTCACCGGAATCAGGAAATAAAAAGCATTTTTATGTGAGAAAAGGGCCTGGAAGTTAGCATCTAAAGAGATTATACATACAGAAAAGGCTAATAAAGTAGTCTGTTTGACGGTAATATAAGGGTTTAATTTCCAGGGAACTTTACGTTAATCAAAAATTGCTTGTAAATTTTGGAATCATAGTTTTATTACAGTCAGTATTTGTCCACATAATTCAAATCATAGTGCGCAATGAATGGCTTCACATTTGAGTTGGGAAAAATTGAATGGTCAAAAATGGTGGGGATGCTTGGAAAGCTTTCTGAAAGTGAGGATGTGGAGGAGGGATGAAGAATTACGGGATCACAAGAGAAGTATTTCCTTTAAGGAGTGTATAAAGAAAAGATGTTCAAAAAGAAAGGTAATCGGCAGGGCGCGGTGGCTCAAGCCTGTAATCCCAGCACTTTGGGAGGCCGAGGCGGGTGGATCACGAGGTCAAGAGATCGAGACCATCCTGGTCAACATGGTGAAACCCCGTCTCTACTAAAAATACAAAAAACAAATTAGCTGGGCATGGTGGCGCGTGCCTATAATCCCAGCTACTCAGGAGGCTGAGGCAGGAGAATTGCCTGAACCCAGGAGGCGGAGGTTGCGGTGAGCTGAGATCGCGCCATTGCACTCCAGCCTGGGTAACAAGAGCAAAACTCTGTCTCAAAAAAAAAAGAAAAAAAGATAATCAAAATCTGTAAGTTCTTTATACCATGCGGACTTTGAGTACACTTAAAATTTCAACAATCTTGGAACAGTTTTGGAGGTTTGGGTTTTTTTTGTTTGTTTTCATTTTCTTTTCCTTTTTTCTTTCTTTTCATGGTAGACAGGTTGTGGTGCTGAGGTCATAACAAAGTTTGAGGGAGGGACACATCTCACACATAAGTGTAACACCCCAATCATTACACTTGTGAACAAAAGGATCTCTCTTGTTCTGGAGACAAGGTCTCGCTATGTTGCCTAGGCTGGAGCTTGACTTCCTGGGCTCAAGTGATCCTCCCCTCTCAGCCACCTGAGTGACTGGGACTACAGGTAAATGCCACTGAGCCCCACTGGAAGTAGAATTTGATATTCAGAATTGTCTTTACTTTTCAGGGATCCAGTCCATGTAGTAGTCACCCCTTCCTCTAAAACAAGTTCAAAATAGTTCACATCTCTATATAACAAGAAAACATACCAAGCCCAAACTAGTGACATAAACTCAGGTATTTTTACTTTTGAGTGCATTATTTATTTTTGTAGCTTATTTATATTTTAAACTAACTTATCTTAGTACTAATTAATTGTGTTGTAAGTTTAACTAAAGCAATGCTGGCTTAAGAGGCCTGGATATGGCCAGGAGCATGACTGCTGACTTAAACTTTAAACTTTTGGGGGTGTGTAGTATTTTCCTCCTCTTCTGTTTAAAGTCACATGCTAAAGCAGCTAGAGGCCAGATTTTAATTTTATTTGGAAGCCTGGCTAAAAGGATAATCTACTTTTTACTGCTTTTAGAATTTAATGCTAAATTTATCTTTGAAGAATCTCACTTGTTTGTAAAGGACTCTTTAACAAAGTGTTCTTAGGTGTGACAGTGGTGACTTCATATTACAAACTGGAAACAGGGATGTGGAGTGTTTGTGTGAAAGAGAGTGTTTATATGTGTATAGTCTAAACAAAGACAACTAAATGAAATGTAGTAACCACTCAACTTTACTAAAAATAATCACATGAAAGTAGTGTTGCTCTGGAGACTTGTGTCATCATTCTGCTCTAATGAGTCCTTGTGAATGACCCAAATTTTAAGAGTAGCCTTAGTAGCCTTTTCTTCTCAGGAGACCTTCGTATCTAACCCAGTTCAGCAACTCACTTTAGTGGCCATTTCCTGCACTTTATCATGCAGGCCTGACTTCTTCCACTTCCTGAATTCCAGGAAAGCAGAGTTTCAGCTACAACCTACGTTTTGTTCACCTCCATCATTTTTGGTAGGGAAGTCAGTTCCCTACCTAGTTTAAGCTTTTGTGGTACCGTGGCCCACTTTCCCTTTCTCCAGTATATTAGCCCCCTCATTGTTTTACTTTTCTTCCTGTAGACTTTACTCCACTATTGGCCTTTTCTGTGCCTCTCAATTCACAGACTGCTGAGTGTTACCAGAGAAAGTCATACTCATGCTGGTAGATAATATTGTAAATCAAAGGTTTCTAACCTCAGATGTTAGCATCTGGTGATCTTTTTACTTTCCCTGGCCATCTCCTTTCCCTCTGGGCACTATATAAATAGTCATCATTCACATCCCCATTTTGATTAATATGTGGCAAAATCTTTTCCTGTCTTTTGAACTTATCTGTCCCATCCATTACCGCCTTCTTCCCATCTAAGAGGAAAAGTTATTCAGGAGTGCAATACTCAGTCCTTATAATTTTGTTCCCTACCATTATGCTTCCATCCGTTATTCCCTATCTAGCCTGTGTGTTTAACTTCTCCTCCCTACCATGGTATCTTCACTTTTGCCCCCATTTAAGCTCAATCTCTCCTATCCTGAAAACAACGTAAATCTTGACCTGGTATCTACTGGATACCACTTTGTGCCTCTGTGCTCTTCAATCCACTGCAACACAGTTCCTGCTCCCACTACTTAGTTGGAATCACTCAGGCTGTGACCACTGATGACTTCTTAATTGTCTGGTCTGTTGTGCTCTTTCCTCCCACATCTCTTTTGAAACTTTGACTTTATTAACCACACCTTTTGGAAATGTTTCCTCTTTGGCTTTTAGGACACCAAGCTCTCTTTATTTCCTTTTCTGTCTCTCTAACCATTCTTAATTAGTTTCAGTGACTTGATTTTGTTTTTTTCCCCTCTTCTCTCTGTGGGTCTGATGTTGTCCTACTTCTCTACAAATACTGTTCACTCTCCATATATGATTTATGTATTTTCACAGCTTCACCTATTACTTGTAGAGACTCCCAAATCTTTATTTAAGCTAGGTTCTCCCTACTGAGTTTTAGACTCAGGTTTTTGCTGCCTTACTGATATCTCCCAGAGATGTGGGCATCAATAAATAACATTCTACTCTTTCTTCTAGCTTACCAAAGAAGTTTCATTCTTGTTTGCATGCTTACTCCAGTTTGTGCTTTAACTGATATTTATCCAGTGATATTGATTACTGACCTAATATGTACCAGGCCCTGTGCTGGGCTCTGAAAATACAGTGATGAGTAGAGACAGGCATGGTTCCAGTTCTAATGGAACTTACTTTCTAATGGGCAAGACAGAAATTATTAATATAATCAAGCCAGAGTATGTGTTTTGAAGGAAGGGAACATAGTTCTCTGAGATAATCTAACAAAGGAAATGACCTACTCTAGAAAGACGGGGAGACTTCCTTGAAAAGGTGTGATGGAACTGAGATCTGATGGGAAAGATTTCCAGGTGTATTTTAGATAGAACAGCATGTGCAGAGACCCTGTGGTGTGAGGTGCTGCAGGAGGCAAGGGAGCAGGAGGAAATGATCTGAGATGAGGCTGCAGAGGCAGAGGGAAAAGTCAGACCACAGAGTCCTACAGGCCACATTCTCCTAGAAAGATAGAAATCTAGTGAAGGATTTTTAGCAGGTAGGGAGTGGGTGAGGTAACATGATCTGAAAATCATTCTAGTTGCAGTGTGGAGAATGGATATGAAGGGGCCTTGAAGACCACTTGGCAGGTCATAGACAGCAGTCCTTCTAAAAGGCAGAAATGAACTTTCCCATCCTCAAAATTCTCCAGTTGTGCAAAATGCAATCTAAACTACTTAGCTCAAAAAACAGGGTCCTTTCTAACACTCAGTAATGTTTCTAGTCTTTTCTAACACTTCCTGATGTGCGTCCTATGCCTGGCATTGTGTTCGCTGCTGCTTGACCTTGCCATGCTCTGTTTCCTCTATCTGTACTGCCTTCTTCATCCCCCTTTGTGAACCAAGGAAACACCTATTTCCCAGCAAGACACAGCTCCAGCTCCTCTGAGAAGCCTTTCCAGAACAAGCTTCTTTTCGTTCTACCCCAGAAACAAAACCAACAAAGTTTATTGTTTAATCCCAAGTACCTACAGTGTAAGTGACTGGCACTTACTTCTATGGTGCTATAACCGTTTATTTACCTGTACTTCTCACACAACGGAGCTCTTTATCATCAGGGATTATTTTTTCCATCTTCATATTATCCTTTCTTGTCTAGCACTTTGCCTGGTGCCTATAAATATTGGATAAGCATTCCATTTTTCTGCTCTGACCACTTTATTTTTGCCAGTAGTCAAGTCAGTTAAACACTTACTGCTGACCACTTAGCTATGCTAGGTGTGTGGGGATACTAATACCCACACCCAAACTCTACATTTGATATTTTTTTCTCGTGCTAACTGTGCTTCCTTTTATTTTATTCACGCTCAATATTTTTCCTAATAAGAACTTTTTAGTCATTGTAAAGAGCTAGAGAATCATTATTTGTTCAATAACTGTGTTCTGGAACTGCAGAAAATGTCTCTTGAAATCATAAAGTTAAGGATGAATTACACAATCTTAGCTAAACCACAGAAGAGTACTCTGGTGAATTACATTAGCTCCTTGGTAATCAGTAATTTCCACTGTGTCTGTCAAGGTACCACAGGAACTAGGAGGCCTTTGGTGCTTCGATTTAGGGACAGATTTTATAATGTTTTTGCTCTTGATCTCTTATTTAGGAGAGGGTCATAAATTGACTTGATCTTTTTTTTTCCTTCTTTCTAGATAACAGCAAAAGCATCTATCATTTTTGTTACTCTTCAGTACAATGTCACCCTCCCTGCAACAGGTAGGTAATTTGCACTAAGAATTTTCTACGTAAATAGAAGTTCTATTGAACAAACTTGGAAATTGTCGTGAATACTAGGCCCTGTATTAATCATCAGAGATCTCATCCATGATGTGACTGAGTGTTACTTTGATGATTTTGTAATACAAGATCTGATGTTTTTGACTGACTTTACCCTATATATGTTTTCTGTTTATTACATATATTTGTGAATGGACTTGAAATTCCATAAAATAACTTTGTTTTGCTTTCTCTGCCTTCTGATCTTTTCCTAAGAAAATTATACAAAAATATATATTTTTAATTTGTTTAAATGTCATTGTTTATTCAAGGCTTCTAAAAGCACAATGGCAGATTTAGTGTTTCTGCAAGTTGTATTTTGTACCTCTAATAGCAGTCCTTGTAAGATTATTTTATTTTCACTTTTTCCTGTGCTCTACTTTTAACAATTATTTTAATTCAAGAAAATGTTGGTAAGCTCTAGGAATTATCTGGTAAAAGCATCCAAACTATTAGGGTTTACTTCAAAATATTATTTCTTAATTATTCTATGTAAAAATGAGGTGTTTCTTGGAAGCTGATTGTAATTTAATACAGTGATATAATTAACTGACATGGGTGAGGGGTGGTTACCCATGTCAGTTAATTATATCACTGTATTAAATTATTTATTGGTTGCGGCATTAAACCTGCACAGAGTTTTTTATTTGGAATGTAAGATAATGTAGTATACAACGTTTAGTTGGGGTTTTTTGTTGTTGTTGTTGTTGTTGTTACTGTTTATGTGTGTGTTTTTAAGAGACGACAGGGTCTTGCCAAATTTGTTGCCTAGGCAGGAGTGCTGTGGTGTGATCATAGCTCAGTGCAACCTCCAGCTTCTGGGCTCAAGTGATCCTCCCGAGTCAGCCTTCCAAGGACTACAGGGGCACACCACCATGTCCAGCTAATTTTTCAATTTACTGTAGAGATGGAGCTCACTATATTACCTAGGTCAGTCTCGAATTCAGGCCTTAAGCGATCCTTCCACTTCGGCCTCCCTAAGTATTGGAATTACAGGTGTGAGCCACTGCACCTAGCCCCTGAATTGGGCTTTTGTTCAGTTATGTACAGTTCTGTAAATAT